ACAACGCAAGAAGGACAATCAGGAACTACCTGTGGGTCTAGATACGGCCAAGGAGGTGAGGAAGTGGGGGCAAGTTTGTGCGAAAATGAAGGGACATGAGGGCGAAAAAGAGCAGGGATCCAGGTGGAAACAGGGTCCCAGCATTCTTGCACACCTCGCTCTTCTAGCTGGTCCATCTTCACGAGCCGTTTTCCACAATGGCGGTCGTACAAACAGAACAAGCCGGTAACGTACCAAACAGGGAATACGCATAGTGTAGAGCGGATGTAGATTTGACCAATCAAAAGCCTCCAGTCTGTGGTCGCCTATAATTTGGGAGTGGTGCAGCAGAGGGTCTGCGGAGGGGGCGGAGGCATATCTACGTTAACTGCGGTACACACGCAGACGAACTGATTTCTGAGTATAAACCGGCCTTTAAAGTGACCCTAAAAGTTTCAGAAACTGTTTCATTTCTTTAATAATTTCATTCTGACCTATCTGCTGTCTTTGACTGACCAACCGGCCAAATGGATTGATCTTTCTATCCATAGTGTTGTTTGTACTTAGTGTGTAGACTGGCAGTTGGAACGTCTCGCCGACCAGCGTTGATCCCACATCCACCGACTCGACAAGTGGCTCAGGTTAAATCTGCCCTTAAACAGCTCGGCTCTGATTGGGATATATTGTGGGAGCTTCAGGCTGGGGTCAGCCCGCTAATTTAAGTGATACAATTAAGTAGGACTGAAACAATTAATCAGATTAGTCGTGATTAATCGATTATTGAAGTAATGGTCATCTAATTTAGTAATTGATTAATCATCAACTGGGGTATAGAGACTCTAAAACATGCCTTTAGCTGACAGAGAAACCCAATTAGAGCAGTAATTATATCAAAATTGTAAAAAATATATAAACATTTTGCATTTAAAATTTAAAAAGCTTGTTCATTTTTAAATATGCTCTACGCAGAACTCTGCAAGTGCAAAAGTTTTAGTTTCACCTGGTTTTCGCAAAAAGTCTTCTTTATGGAAAGTTTTGCTGCCCGATTATTAATCAGAAAAATATCTACAGATTAATCGATTTGTAAAATAACTGTTAGTTGCAGCTCTACTATAAAGAATACTGACTGCATCCTGACTCCCTTCCATTGCTTACTTTCCTGATATCTGTTGTACCAATGACATCATCAACGCTAGCCCAGGCTGATGGCGTCACCAGACATGCAGCGTTGGGGGACAGAGGTCACGCAGCTTGCCAGCGGGGGGTCAGACCCAGCTTTTTTTCCCGAATGGGAAGCGAGCCTAATGCCGATTGTTAGCAGGTCGACCCATGTGAGAAAAACCACACAACTCTCAACTTAGCAGCTACATCTGATCACATCTCTAGCTTCCGCTTCAGTACACTGAAAAAACACAAAATCTTATCAAGTATATTGCTGTCATATCAAGTCAAGACCTCTTATCACACGTAATACAAAACCTTCTAGGGAAATATATTTAAGTTAGATATACTAACTTTTTTCAAGACAATACAACTAGAAAATCTTGATAAGTGATACAGTCTTGAAAAAAATCTTGTTTTAAGATATTACGTTATTAAAACTAGCTTTTTTGACATTTCACAAGAGTTTGAAGTTTTCAAACACCAACACATTGGAAAACAATCTAGAGATAAGTTAAAATTTCCTAAATAAAGTGTATTTACCCTTAATTTGAGTAGGTAAGTTGAGTATTTTTACTCTTAAAATAAGATAATTAGATAATATACACTTGAAATTAGACAATGCAGTTGTGTTTTCCTATTTAAAGTGTAAATTGTCTTGTTCCATTGACAAAATGTCTCTTTTACCTGCTCAATCAAGAACAAATGCACCTATTTTAATAAAAAAAATGACTTATCTAGATTTGGATTTTTTCCAGTGCATTCATACTGTATTCCATGCATTGTTCCCATCTCATCCCTCTTGGAATTAGATCATTTTTTCTTTTTTTTGTTGCTTTTTTTCATTATTTTAATACTGTGCTGGGAGGTGCTAATGGCCTTGGTGCGGCTACTTCCTTGTTTTTACCTTGTGCACATGTGCAGTATGATATTGCACATGTATCGTATCTCCTTTGTTTTTGCAAATATATAATGCATAAAGCAAGGGCTCTTTCTTTGCTAAAAATTAAGCAAATAAAACGTAAAACACAAAAATACAAAAATAATCCGTCAACAGGATGTTGTTATGTTTTAAATAAACTTTGTGTGGAAACAGGATGATTTACTGGAGTATAGATGTCAAATTCTCAAATAAATAATTTGCTGGTGTTTTGTTCCAGCCATTTTTTAGTGCTAAATTCTTTCTTAATTATTATAAGTATATTATTGTTACTTTATCTAAAACCTCGACTAGAAATAAAAATAAAACAATGATTTAACTTTCGTTTTTAATTTTACTTTCTGACTAAGCAGGGCATTTTCTTTTGCTCTCCTCTTTGTTTCATTCTTCCTTTTTGCATAATGCAATTAAATTTCCAACAACTGCGGGATAAAACGAATGCAGCAGATTCATCTGCTCGTTGCACAGATTCTTTGAAGAGCAAAACGAAGGGCTCTCAACCTTCACACTCCTGTGCCGTTTGTCTCTAGTGCTTATATGAGCTCTATTAAGTTAAGTGGAGAGCCCAGTTAACGTAAATGTGCTCTCATATAGTTTACCTGTCTCTGGAAGGCAATTAAAAGCAAATGCATATGCTGGTTAAGGAACTTGCATGCCGTTTCCACTGACTTATAGTTGGCTGGAGACAGAGGGCGACGTTAGAAGACAAACAGAATCAGAATGAAGCTGAAAGTCAGAGGTTATGATGGTTTGTGTGACACAAGGAGATGGATGATTGGATGTGAGGGAACAGGTATTTTAGGTAATAAACAGGCTGAATATAAAAAGTGGACAGGAGAAAAAAATTTAGGTCAAAAGCAGCCGGTGATGCTTCACACAAGCTTGTAATTTTCTGATACTTATAAATGAATCATAGAATAAAAAGCAACTTTTAAACTAAGTTTTAAATGGAGATAATGTGTTCTATAGAAAACAGTTTATAGCCAAGTCCCTTTTTCTTGTACTGCTGCAAATGATACTAACAGTCATCAAATAACAACATACACCAACAATATAATTACTGAGGAATTTCTTCTTTTCTTTTATCTCTCTTAGATTTTAAACATTATTCTTGAACCATAGGGAAAATATCTCCAGTTTCCCTTCCAGTAAGGCAGGCGATGACAGAGTGGATGTTGTGGATGCTCCACACGATTGAAAGTACTGTGTCCTTTTTTTTTTTAACCCTGAAAAGCTTTATTGCAGTTAATAAATCCAGGAGTCAACTGTTTCCCCTTGTTAGTGAAGAAGGACGCTTCCCCAGTGAACTGGTAGTTTCTGCAGACTTTTTCTACAGCTTTATTTTCTGGTAATAAAGCAAAGGAATTGGAGCAGGTCTTGTTTTAGCTGGCCTTGTATTTTAGTGACAGCCCTGGATACACCTAGGAGGAATGGAAAAGTTGATTCATGCCAGTTTTTTATTAATGGTTCTGACTGTATAGATGAAATAAGGGACCTTATCCGATCTGAGAAACGCAGATATTCATTTTTCGCCTTTTTTTTTTATTTTCTACAGATTTATACATACAAACAATTTTCTAAATGAAACCACGTTATTTATTTAAATATCTTCAGGCATCTTCTTAAATGTTGTCAGCTGGTTTCTTGGTTTTCTGTGTTCCCCCCCTTCTCTTGTTATGCTTTCATTCATTTAATAGGTTTTAAACCAAGAAAAGCAAAGTACAGGACTGAAGTTGTTTTTTTTTCATTATAGGAACCTGTTATTCTGTCATTTTACCCTCCTTGAGTAATTGTTTTCTGAAAATACATATATTTTAAAGTTTTGCTTGCCTATAAACCTTTCTAATGATTCACATGAAACTTCTCATTTTTTTTAGATCAGTATAGGACCTCAAAAATCGATCCTAAAAGTAGGGATAGGAAGTATACTTGTCACAATACGATATTATCATAATATTGCAATGTCACTATATATTGCTATAGTTTTTCCATTTAAATTAAATCTATAGATAAAAAGAAAACAAGTGCTGATTATGTTTATCAGAAGATCCTGATCTTTTACTTTTTTGGTATCCATGTTTGGGATTTGATTTCTTTTCTTCCACTGTAACTGCCTCAACTACAGATGGCGCTGCACCGCACAGTAATACTACGTTCACACCGCAAGCAGCAGGAGCAGCTGCTTTATTTTTGATGCTTGTACAAGTTTAGTTCTGATGCATGGCTGAAGCATCTTTGCTACTCTAGTTGCGCAGTCGAAAAGTGGGTCGCGTTGGGTGGACCTACCATTTCTTTGCTTGTAACAATGGCAGAATAATAAAATTAACGCCTGAAAAGTTCATTCAGGTGTTAATGAACTGTTTCAGAGGAGTGATAATAGCGCCCTGCATCAGCAGTGCTGTGTCTGTCTCCCTGCCAGCTCAAAGATCAGCTTCTCTGATTGGTTGATGTGGCACGTCGAGCAGCAACAGTTAAATTTTTCCAATTCGGCTGCTTCTGGTTTTGCAGCGCGTCAGATGCTCATGACGTGCCGCTCCTGCTGCTCAAAACGCGCTGCGGGACCTTTTGCTGCGCCTTGATTTGCGTTAACCATTGACTTTGCATGTAAATTAGCTGCTTCTGCTGCTTCAGCAGCCTGCGGTCTGAACAAAGCAGGAAAGGGCTCCACAGCTCTGCCAGTATCGTTGCAGAGTCAATTTTTCATCATTGTTTTAGGTAAAAATGTCTTGTTTTCATCCATCAATATGAGGAACCGAAAGATTGATATTATACCGGGCAGCCAAAAATCACGATATATTGCCAAAACTATTTTTTCGCAAAACCCTACCTAAAAATTAGCTAAACCAAGTGAAGGTGGGTTAGGCTGCTGGTCGGACAGTAACTAAGATTTTCCTTTGTTTGTCTCTCTGTGTGTCACCAGCTCTTGAATACCACAATCTCAACACCTCTACAGCAACCAGGAACTACTGGGTGATCACAGGTAATCTTCTCCTCAACATGCTGACAGATTCAGCAGTGACTGGATGAAACAGCAGTTGCTAAGATGCCTTTTTCATGCTGCTGAGGATGTTTCTATGCATGAGCTTTTTCTGTCCCTCCATCCATTTTTCTTCCTAGTCTCTCTGCTCAGAGTCACTTTAGCTGCTCTGTTCCTTGGATAAACCTATTGATGTATAATTCACAGCTTCCTGACTGGGGCAGAGGGAGAGATCACTTCACATCACATCAGGGATGGCTGTGAATGATGCTGCTGTGTGTGAGTGAATGTGTATGGGATGTCTGTCCACTGATCCATCTCACTTATGGCCCGTTGTAAAGAAGGCTCTCAGGAGTAAGATCATCCATCATCTCTATTGTCGTACTCCTTACATATCTCTGACTTCACTGACTTTTTTTTGTCTTTCTTCAAACTTTCCTTCTTGGCCCATTTTCTTTTGCTTTGTCACTGTATTTTTTTCCCCAACCCTTCATTCATCTCCTCGTCCATCTCTTGTTTGGCTTCTTTTTATCTGCCTGAACACCTCTTCTCTCCCATAAATCTGCCTGTCGTTTCCTGTCTCCTTGCTCAGTGATCCAGGATGTGGACAGCTCCTCCCTGGAGGCTAACTACCAGAGCTTCGCCAGCCTCATGGAGCAGCGCCTGGCTGAGCTTTTCCTGGTGGCTGGCAGGCAGGGCTCTCGGTCCATGAGGTCCCGGCGGGCCACCACTGTGGGCGGCTACACCGTGCAGGTTGGAGGAAATTGATAAGTCTATTTGTATAAATGCAATGTGAAGATGCCAACATAAAGGATATTTACTGTAGCCAAGTTAGCTTTATTGTTTAGATCACCATTTAAACTGCACCACATTTTATATTTATCATTTGATGAATGACGCGCTGTTTTAAACTATTGCCATCTTGTATCATCTTACAACAATGTGAAAGGAATGCCCAATTCATCGCCCCCTCACCACCATGTTCAACAAGTCGATACGATTCATTAGTTCTTATATGTTTTGTTTTCCCGAACGCCTCTTCTTTGGTATCGCTCTCATTCCTTTAAAGCAAAACTGTAATGTTCAGCCACTAGGGGTGCTAGAACTGTAATGCTACATTCAGACCACAAGCAGCAGAGGCAGCAGAAGCAGCTAGTTTAGATGCAAAGTCAATGGTTGACGCACATCAAGGCCAGAGCTTGTAAACTGAGCGGAGCACTGCACAATTCCCGCTCCCCACTCAGGAGGAAGCTCCTCTGAAAATCCGCTCTGCCCTCACTTAATTTTCCTGCCGCTCTAGCAAAATTGCTCCACGCTCGCTCAGATTTTTAGGAGAAGGAATTTTCTGACAGTTTTCCTTCATGTAATTAAGCCAGGGTCCTGGGACACACTGCGTTTGATTTAATGTTTCCGATACATGTATATTGCCTTTTTTCACTGGCTGTTAAATTATCATTTCCCAGCTGTCAATGTAAAACCTCGCTCCATTCATGTTGCCCCGCGTTTCCTATTTAATTATTAATTTATTTTACTAGACTACATTTAATTAAATAAATGTTGTTTTACGAATTTTATAATCCAACATTTTTATTTGACATTGTGAGTCCATTGGACCTCGCACCTCATGAACATATTAAAAACATATTAAAACTACTTTTCACCCACTGATCACAGAAAATATAGCTGCCATTGTTGCAGGCAAAGAAAGGATAGGGTAGCTCCGCCCAACGCGCATCAGACCCAGTTTTCGACAATGCAGCCAGAGCACCAAAGATGCTTCAGCCGCGCATCAGAGCTAAACTTATACAAGCATCAAAAATAAAGCAGCTGGCACGTTTTTGCTGCTTTTGCTGCTTGCGGTCTAAAGGTAGCATAACTTTCAGTTTATTTTCTGACTAACCAGTTAGTCAGAAAATGTTCATGGTAGTGGCCCAGCAGAGAACAATGTCTACCGCGGAGTGGTCGTCAAAGTGATCCGTACAAAAATCTATTTAAGGTCAGTTTACACTGATCCTACATATACAACTGAAAATGAACAAGAAAATCATCCATATTTCCTTAATAAGTCAATGAAGGCTAGATTTTCATGCAGCCCTTGCTAATAAATCTACACACATATTTAAAAATTTGTGTTATCTAAATTAATTGTGGTTCTAAATAAAATATATGTTAAACAGACTGAGCTGTTGTTTCAATATCTGTAAATTCATAGAAGACTACTTGATGATGAGACTCATAACTTTCCCTTCATCCCCATAAAGAAAAAAACATAGTTCTGAAAAGAGCATTCGTTTTCTTTGGCCTTATTTAATCTTAGTATATTAATATGAAAGATTATTTAATTAATGAAATGTATTTGTCACTTTATAGTTAATTAACGAACAGTGTAAAAATTCAAATTTGTTACGACATCCCACCTTGAGAGTATCAGTGCTGCCAACCTCTGGTTTAGAGAGGAACTGCTAGTTGCTGATGTGGTGAAGTATGTTCCTATGGGAACAGCAAATCACCCAGGCGAGGGGCCTTCATTGGTTGGCTTCCTTCTAGCTCCACCTCTGCTGTCAACACTGCACAAGGGGTTACTACCTGTTAAATAAAATTAAGAATCCTCCCTTATTTTCATGACATTACTCATTTAGTGACAGATCCAAACTCTCAAGTTACATAGCCGAGCTCACATGGAGCATCGCTACGCATTAAGGGCTGAATATTGACCTGAAAAATAATTTTTATGTACGTGTAATTAAGATAATACTTGGGTAAAAAGTTTTGTAGAGGTGCATCTTCTAAAACTTCACCGATTGATTAAAATGCATCTTTGAAGAGTATTGTAGCTATATGGAGAAAACAGGAAACTGAAGTCTTTTATCTTTATAGAGAAAAACGTTACTTCAAAATTCATTTTAGTATTTTATCAAGGCTATTTTTGTCTTTCATTGAAATTCATTTGATGATCTAAAAAATTGAAAGCTTATAAAATAGCAAATATGAAAGAAAACTGTAAGAAGGGAAGCCGTTATGACATCACTGTCTTTTGATGATCTGACTCTGCTTAGCACCTGATGTAGAGAAGCAATTAGGTGTTAAATCAGGGTGATAAATCCACACATCTTAGTCGTTTTGCAAATGCTTTTTCTTTTTCTAACATTTTTTGCTTTGGCACTAACTGTTGTTAGCAAGTTCTAAAAAGATTTTAATGCAGATCTCCAGATGAAGGAAGCGATCAGTCGCTCCCAGGAAACACAGTGTTATAAGAAATTCTATACAAAGAGAGCTGATGTGTTTTACAACCAATGTTTATGCAACAATGTAGCCAACTACTTTTAATAAAAAATGGATTGAAAGCGATTTAATTTGAATTAATTTAACTCCACATCTGTAAAATGATATTGTTGCAGCAGAGGAAGATGTTGGAAGGATCTCCTCTAGATTGGAAATGCTAATGAGCTAAGAAACATCTGTGGCAAGTTTTTTCTTTTTTTTTTTTTGATTGTCGCCTTCTCACTCAGCGCTCCAGATTGTCCAAATTCACATGACGTGTCATTCCTCGTGGCCCACATGCAATACAGACCCCCGAGGCTTTATGGTCTTCACAGATGACCGGTTCTATGGCTGCAGAGTGGAGAAGGGACAGTCTCTCAGAGATAAAACATCTCTTTTCTTTTGCTACGAACTCCAACTGTTCAACTTAATTAAAGCTGTGTAATGTTTGAAAAAAAATCTTTGATGTATGGTGAAAGGAAATTGAGATTTCATGTGACTCGTTTATCCTGGAGTATCTTCAGTTAACGCATTCATCTCCCAGCCAATGCTGGACTTGATCAAAGCTAGAGAGATTGGGCCACAGACTCAGCCATCTTTTGCTGTGGCAAGATAAGGGATTCTGTCTTTTACTGCCTACAGATTATGTTTTCCTGGTGCTTAACAAGAATAAAATCTCTCTAAATATAGCATATAACTGTGTCCTTAGATGGTAAGCATGAGACGGCTTCCAGGTCCCAAAAACCCGGCAGAGATGACTTACTACGCCCAGCTGAATGGCTTACCCATCACAGGAACGGCAGCGGCGAAGACCCTCAGCAGTCTGGACTCGCAGACCATGGCTCTGACGCTGGGATACTTTGTGCAAGTGCAAGCTGAACGTAAGCCTCTGACTGTACCGTCACTGTTATGTGTGATTGTTATTCATGTATATAGAAGGCAGAGATGGTGAAACGCAGGAGACATGGTAAAAGAGTAAGAAAAACAGGGTTCCTAAAACAATCTATGAAGTTCTTCAGGACAGAAGTCATAAAATGTAATTCTATTTGAGCCTTGTGAAAACAGTGAGGGGCAGTAGAGGAAAGCGCAGCTATCACGCTCTCTCTATCACCCCTTTCCCACTGACGGAAAAACAAATTTTAACCCGGCAACAATCGGATTTTAGTGACAGTGGCAACAGCTCCCTGACGCATGTCTACCCAGGTCAAATGACTCGGCAAGCATGCCGCATTAAAATCACCTAGACATGACACCATTAAATGCAAAGCACGTATGTCAACACACCCATGTCTGAGCTAACAAGCCGAAACAACTCTGTTTACATTCGATAACATGATACAGCACTGGTGAGAGGGATTTGGACGGACAAAAGAGCGAAACAATAAAGCACTCTTACTATGCCCTGGCTTCCTTACATTTTGCTCTCCATTGTTTACTTTCCTGATTTTTGTCGTACTGGTGACATCAACCCTAACCCAGCGTCATCAGACACGCAGCTGCGGAGGGGTAGAGGCCACACAGCTTTCCAGCAGGGGGTTAGACCCAGCTTTTTTGTCAATTGGAAGGGAGCCAAATGGCGATTGTTAGCGGGTCGACCCTTGTTTGAAAAACATGCGTAATTTTCAATGGGAGAAAGGCTTCAGTCCACATCCCACAGCGTTTTTTGCTGAATTTTCCCTTTCTTTATACGTAGTTGTTATTATGTTTCAATATAGACCTATAAAAATTCTCTGTTCTAGTTTAAAAGAGATGCTGAACAGACATATCTGCGCCGTTGTTTTTTTATTTTGATTTATTTACTTTTAATAACGTCTCATAATCTTTTCCAAGTCATTTGTGGGAAATTTGTGTGGCACAGTCAGAGGTGAAAAGATATTACAGATCTGCTCACCCTATGCAGTCGGAGCTTCTCTTTACGCAGTTGGTGTGAAATGGAAAAAAATTCTATCAGAAGTTACATAACCTGGAGTGAGCTGCGTGTAAGTCGGAGCTTTCCAGACTTCTGTGGTCGAAGTTAGCCCCGCCCACTGACTAACACCTGCTCCCTTTCTCTAATTAACTTTAAAGACTGAACTAGGGATATAGTTCACTATATTCTAACATTTTTATACCTCTTTCACAGAAGAAAGGTATCATAAAAAACACACACAAACATGAAGTGTATGCGCACTGTATGGTGGAGAAAAAAGGGTTTGGCTTAAGCTTTTAATTATGATTTTAATTTCATTAATTATACATATTTTCAGCAAAAACAAAACCAACAAACACTAGGTTCCAGGTTTCATGTTTAGCATGAAAAAAACATTAAATGAGAAAAAAATCACGTCCTCCAAAGTTGTTTTTTTTTGACATAAAGTAATCATAAATGATCATTTTTTGTCATTTTTCTCTTGAAGCCTATCTACTTGAATTCTTGGGAAAAACAAAACATATTACTCTAGGGCTTCTGAATGAATATTGGGTTCAAAAGCCATTTGACACAAAGGCATTAAAGTAGCAGTGAATATTTTGAATCTATGTTAGCTGGAAAAAAAAGTCTTATTTAACAAGATTGAGACCGTTGGTCTTCATTAAAACATTATTTATGAATCGTTGCTAGGGGGAACGGACGCAGTCTTTTATTCATGTTCTCGTCAGACACATGAATTCACTACCTACTGCTATTGTCTGTTTGTAAAGATTTTTATTATGGTAATAAAAAACTTTAATTTTTTTTGGAATTTTTTATAATTATTACAGACAGAACTTTACAGGCAGCATAAAGCTGAAAGATTTACTGTTTAAATACTGTAAGTTCATCTAAACAAAATTCTTTTTTAAGCCCATTAATATTAACAGTATTCTCTTGCACTATCTGTGGATTAGTATGTTTTGTAGCTCCAGAGGAAAGAGTGTTCTCTCCCCTTGACTTGTGATTTCTTATAACTTGTTTTCTCAGAAACGTCAGAACATTTTATGAACTGAAGAGCTGATTGGATTTGTTGGAGCTCACAGAGCTCTTCCTGAAAAGTGTTTATGCTGAGAAGAGAGAACAGTGTTCTCAGTAAATGTCATTTAGTTTATCTTTATGGGCTGTGAGGAAGCCAGCTAAATGTCTGCCTTCAATGAAAACACCTGCTCCAACCATTGGCTTATAGACCAACTGAAGAAAATGTTGCATCTAAACTGTTAAAAATGTTTAATTTAGCTGAGTTTCACTTTTCCTTGACTTAAAATACCTGAAAACATTTTGTTCACAAAGTTCTGAGTCTTTTAAATGAACATTGAGTTACAGATATAAAAACTTTAAACTGCAAAAAGATAAACTTGAGAGATAAAGAAAAAAGTGATATTTGTTCACACTTTTATCAGCGTGTTTACACCATGGTTGTCTGGAAAACATGAATCTGACTCATAAAGTTCAGCATGCAGACATTTTAATTAACATTTCCATGCAAATTTACAGTCAACTAATGGCTTTGTTTTATTTTTTTTATGTGTTCTAAAAAAAAATTATATAAAAAAGGAAATACATAGATAAACACAAGGGAAAAAAACAATCAAAAGAAGTTCAACAGTGAAGTATAAAAGTATGTGGGTAAAAGTATAAACCTATTTTTAAAGCAACCTCTTTTCCAGCAGCTGCATTATCTGAATACACTGTTGGTTGTAACAAATATAAAAGGTTAGGAAATAACAAAACTTATTAATTAAACTAAGTAATTAAGGCTTGGGATATTCCTAAAAAAATGTATTCATTAATCATACTTTGAAAAACTTTTTTTTTTTTTTTACAGATTTTATCTTTTTTATTGTGATTTAATTTGTTTTTTTTTCACCTGTCTCTGCATGCAGCCGTGGTAAAGACGCCACCAGGCAACCTGTGGATCATGGCTGTTCTCACACCTCTCTTCTTATTAATGGTGGTGATTGGAATGGTGGCCTTCATCCTGTGTAAAAGGAACCGAGTCATTTTTAAATCAGGCGCATTCAGGACCTTCAAGACCCGATCCAAGGTAACGCATTTTAACCTCTTTTTCACATTTCCCCTCCTTCTGTAACTGCTGTAAATTAGCTGCTTTCTTCCTGTCATCCTGGGGTGCTCAAAGTTCCTCACATCAACAAATCTCTGGGATTTAATCTTCTGTAAGGCTCCAACAAGATTACACAGCTTTATTGCGAGCGACACGTCAGACAGATAACCGACTGTGTCAAGCTGTTGCTTCAGGACAGAAAAACGAATCTCATTTCTGCCGGCTTTACTCATTTGTTTTCTCACTACCCAGTAGCCCATGGTCATTACTAATCATGCATGCTGCAAAGACCAATCGGCTGTAAAGCAATGGGCAGGGCTCGCTGTACCGGAAGGGAACCTGCGGGTAATGATGGCTCTTCTGTAGAGAGTGTTCTCAAAACATCGTTTTCCCAGAAGTTTGAACTGAAAATCCATCCTTTTAAACGAACATGCTGGTAATAGATTGCCAGCAGATGGTTTGAGTCGGTCAGATGGTCGCCCTGGATGCGGTGCGTCACGCCAGAACAGCAGCTGCTTGTGCCATTGCATGCAATGAAGTGGGAAACAAGCAGTGGGCCTGCCAGCCATGTTTGTTCCAAAACGCCTCCTAAATTAGCTTGAATGTAATAACCCTAAAGTGGGCTTAGTAACTCTTATCATGATTAGACCTCTTTTCACCCAATAACTTCACTTGGTTATTTTAACATTTCAGTCACATAAACTAATTAGGATTTATTCTAATTAAGAAATAGTAATCCAGTCAGTTTAAGTATTTTCCACACGGGATGAAAAACAAATCCCTCTCTGTTGGAAAAGTGGCCTAACAGCATCTTTTTGATATCTGCTGAGCTGCTGATTAACATTTTAATAGAAGGAGAAGAAAGTTAACTTTTTCCCCCATAAAACTGTTCTGTCTTTCAAACCTAAAGTGATGCAGAACTTGAATAAATCTGGGTGAGAATCAGTGGATCAAGTCCTGCAATCAAATAAGGTTACTCAGCTATTATTCAACACAGTGGAGCTAATTTCTCTCACAGCAGGAGAAAGATATTAATTGCCCTAATTTGATATGTTCCACTATTATAGTCTTCAAAGTGAGATGTCAGATGATTTGGTTTCATTGCTCTATGGAATTGAAACGACAAATAAAAACTAATGTAAACCTTTATGAAGATAAATAGTATAATAATTTAAGTGAGTAAGGTTAAGGGTTGGTTTGCTCCCACAGCAGTGTGTCGCAGTGAGCTTATGCAGGTATGGCACAGATATTTTTGATTTATGCCCAATATTGAAGCGTGGTCTGCGCTATGTTATTCCACACCACAATGCTATAGGGACAATCAGGAACTAGCTTTGGGTCTAGATACGACCAAGGCGGTAAGGAAGTGGGGGAAGGTTTGTCAGACAACAGAGGGACATGAGGGCGAAAAACAGCAGGGATCTACGTGGAAAAAGGGTCCCAGCGTTCTCGCGCACCTCGCTCTTCTAGCTGGTCCATCTTCACCAGTCGTTTTCCACAATACAAACAAGACGAGCCGGTAAGGTACCAAACAGGAAATACGTATAGTGTAGAGCGGATGTAGATTGGACCAATCAGAGGCCTCCTGTCTGCGGTCACCTACAATTTATGAGAGGTGCACCGGAGTGTCTGTGGAAGGGACGGGGCATATCTGCATTAACTGCCACACACACACAGACGACCTGGTTTCTGAGTATAAACAAGCCTTTGGACTTAGACTTAGACAATATTTATTGTCATTTTGTATACACGGTGTATACGAAACAATATTTAGATGCATATAGTTTTTCAACAGTGAATTAGCAGTTTGCAACAGTGGAATGAACATTAGCATTTATAAAGTGCAGCAGTGATCAGTATGTAAACAGTGTAGGAGAAAAGGAAAACCAGTTTAAAGTCATGTTGCAAAAGGCATTGATATGGGAAGGTTCTTAGCAGTGCAAAATAAAGAAATATGGTGCAACATGCAGTAGAACACTGAGCTGTGTTCTTTTAAAAATATGGAGTGGATTTTGTTTCATTTTAGTTGCAAAGAACATATTTTGTAAATGAAAATTTGAAAAAATGCCATCCACACTGCAAAAAATATAAATCTCAATAAGTTATTTTTTCTTAAAATAAGTGTGTTTTTTCTTGATTTGAGGAGGTAAGTAAGACACTTTGCCAATGGAACAAGACAATTTCCTTTTAAAATAAGAAAAAACTATTTTATCGTCTTATTTCAAGTAAATATTATCTAACTATCTTATTTTAAGAGTGAAAATACTCATTCCATTGGCAAATCATCTTATTTACCTGCTCAAATTAAGGCTAAATATACTTAATTTAAGCCATTTTTTACTTATTTCTGGATTGTTTTTGCAGTGCAGAAAGGAAACTTTATATAAAATAGGATAACCAAACAGAATAACTGCATTTTTTTGCAGATAGCAAAAACATGCCCACTTTTTGCACATACTAAATCCTCAGTGCTGCATTTTTCTTTGAAATATTTGTGTATCAGAATCTAGCTGTGAAAAATCCCTGGTCTTGTTCAAACTGCTTCATATTGCTATGATTACAGCAATGGATTTTAGTTGTGCATTAATCCTGATGAATGAAACCCTTTATTGATTGAAAAACTAAAAAAATATAAATGATGTCTGGATGTTGCTGCTCTAGACAGCATGTTCTCTAATTAACCTAAAGTAAAAATAAAGATTTTAAAATCTTATTTTAAGCCTGATTTTATTTTTATGACATCCTTTTTTGTGGCTTATTTATGTTTTTTTTTTTGACTGTGTGTATGAACGGTGCCTCTACATCAACCTTCCTTGTTGTGCATAAAGCCCTTCCTGACCTTGCTCCTTTGACTCTCTCTTTGTTTAGACGTCATATCGAAGGGAGGGCAGTTACCACCACCAGGTATTCAATAAAACAACCGCCGGGTGGATTGTTTGGCTGATTAAGTGAATGAGTGAATCAATGAGCGGATGACTTGGCTGCCTTGTCCTCTGTGTGGTGCCAGTTGTTGTTGCTGGGCAAAACCTGCATGTGGCTGCTGTGGCGTGGCTTAGTCTGCTCTTCTCATCGCTGGGAGATCGATAAACGGAGGGGGAGGATGTTTTTAAGAGAAAAAGCAATTTCCTTTTATGATTTAAACTGTTTTGGTGTCAGTAGACTGAATTAGAAAAAGAGAAAGGATGAGCTCAGATCCAGTGGCTAAAAGGTTGTAAATATGAATATTTGCAAACATCCTCGACATACAAAAAGGTCTTTACATATTTAGATTATTTTTGTGCAAAGGAACTCTTTCAAATCAGACGATTCATCCTATCAAATATAACCAGTCCCTCAGCGGCTCAGGAGGAACGTCGGTGTGGATTTGGTTGCTCCACTGGAAGATGTCAGCATCTGTATTTGTGGCCTATTTTGGTCCAGTCCATAAGCCCCCCCACCCCTTGCAAAGTCCAGTGGATAATGGGTCTAATTTCAGAGCTCAGCTGGACGTAAAAATCACTGAAAATAGATTTATAAATTTTTTTTCCTCCCATAAAGTGATATATTTGCACAATTTTGCCAGTAGGTTTATTTGCTCAACTAACCCATGTTATTGTAAACATTTTGGATTTTACAACCGAGTGCATCAAATATGAAAAACTAAGGGGCTGTAAAAGGGATGCCGGAAGGCTGCAACACATTTTTATCTACCGTAGCATTTCCCATCTCCTGAAAGTGGCATCTTAAAGTAAACAAGGGAAATTTTTACTGCAACGTTCTGGTTAGCTTGTGGCGATATGGCAGAGATTAAAAGTAAATTAAAAAGCTAGGTTGATATAAAATTATGGCCAGAAGTTACACAGTCATCGTTTAGATCTTTAATTATTTATTTGAAATTCTCAAAGGGAAAACTATGGCACGGCGTACCACTGCAGGGATTTTAGAAAATAAAAAATGTCTGTTAATGTTTAAATTAGTTTTGATTTTTTTTAATCCACTAATATTTGGGGAAATATCCATTTATACTATCTAGCATTAATATTGGATATTAGACTGCTCGTATCCAAAAGTTATATTCATGGAAGGTTCTTCAGTGCGGTGGTGTGGATGCTCATGACTGTTGGCAAGAAGGGTCTCCTGCAGCTGTCTGTCATACAGTTGATCTGGAGAGGCCTCTGACTGAAGACAGTCTAGTGAAGACAATGCTAAGGGTTGTCTGTAATGTTTTTCATTTCATTAAGAATTCATCTTTGTAAAATTCATCTCCAGAAGCTCAGAGTTGGTCTTCCATAGACTTTATTTAAATAATTTGTTATCCGAACATTTACTTGCCTTAAAAGAACACGATTCATTCTCAATCAGACGCGTTCACGAGTCTACGGAAACCGCGGCAGACCAAACCAGATGAAAGCGCGCATTCAGCTCGTCAAAGAACTCATGCTCTTCCTCAACAATGAAGTCCTCAGACATTTTTCTTTCGTTGTTTCTTTCTTTGCACAGGTAAACAGCACATTTCTTCTTCTACGCTTGCATTATCGGCAGAGCAGACGCTGAATGCGCACTTTCGTCTGGTTTGGTCTGCCGCGGTTTCCGTAGACTCGTGAACGCGCTTTTAGGAAATCCTATACACTACTGTTTATGCTCTAAAAACATTCTAAATGACTTCGTTTCGAGTAAATTCTGGATGCTACCCACTCAGGACACTTGGAATACATTGGACGAGCAGTATGGAGGAATATTGACACGTTTTTTGTGGACTTTTATGGACCTTTCTGCCTCGGGCGCCATAGACCTCCATTATTTGAATGTCAGCAGACAGCAAGAAGCCTCCCAGATCTCCAGATGCATTTGAGATATCAAAAAAGTACTCCAGAGTGTTGTTCTGCATGGGGGTGAGTAGAAAATGAAGGCTAATCATGTTTTGGGTGTACTATTCCTTTAAGACTCTTTCTCCGGAACCCGAAGTAGAGGCAGTGGGATTCGTACCGGGTACTTGCAACCTTCTCAGAGCACAAGCGCACTGCTCTAAGCACTAGGCCAACACTCCAGATGCTCCTTACTTGTTCTTTATATCATTTTGGTCAGAATATCAGTATCTGGCAGTGAAACAGGACCAGAGCATTATTCTACCACCCCCATACTTCACTAATGTTATGGAGTTAAAAGTAATTTCAGCCTTAACTGAACCTGGTGGAGTTTGCCTGCATTGAAAGTTTGTACATTGTAAATCTTTATAATCCATACAAACAATTTGCATTTCCTCTATATTTTGAGTGGATTGTACGAATTGGCAAAAAAGACACCTTTTTTTAAATTACATAATCTTTAAACATAAGGAAATACTTGCTGCTTTGGAAATCCAGTTTTAAAACAAGTTGTTGGTAAAAATTAAGACTCACTGTTTGAATTCTTGAAATCTAAACTCTGTACTTTCCCACTTTTACATCCCCTTCCAAAAGGAGGTTAAAAGTATGGGGTCATATTTAGCCCCCTGAGTCAATACTTTCACTACAGCTACAGTATTTTCTGCCAACTTTCTACATTTAAACATGTCAACTTTTCCTTAAATACTCCTTATAACTTTAAGCTCAGCCACTTTGTGTAGACTTCAGTTTTCAGATTCTACTTTTTCCTTCACACCCAAAGTTTTTCCACAAATTTAAATTTAGGTTTAACCAGGAAACCTTCATGTTAAAGAATCAGTGTTTTTTTCTCCTGTTTCCAGGTGTCTTTTTCTTGCTTTATTTAATCAATAATTTATTACTTTCCATTTATCTTTAAAGCTCAGGATTATAATTAACAGATTCTTCCACCTGAGCTGTAAATTGCTCCATTAGAGTTACAATGCTATCTTTAGTTTACAATTTAGTCATGCTGTTTAATTAAAAATGTGTATAAAATCTGGAGGGTTTTTTGGATAGGGTGTTCTAATCTCACTCTGCTTTAAACCTTTCCATAGCTTTATGTGTGACTTGTTTTTCTGGAAGCAGTTTTTTCTAAAGAAAATATGAAGACTTGCAATAACATCTGGATTTATAAGAGGCTCCAGATGCAAACATTAAGATTCTGTCTAATAACATCCTGGTCTCTTTTTGGGAGGTTCAGGGTGATTGATGAAAATGTTAGTAAACAGTTTGCTTAGTTGTCCTTCTACTGTGTTGCTTCTCTGTATTTCTGTTTAAAACACAAAAAACTATAGTAATGAAAAGAGCAACATGAGAGGGAACACCATAGTAAGGCAGTGTATTGTGTATTTTATCTATATTCTCATGTTTTAGAAAGTATTCTGATCATGATTCCTTTTTAAAATCAGCAAATTTAGGTTGATATTTTATTAGTTTAGCTTTTCCTGATTAATTAATTGAGCAAGATGCGAAGGATAATCTTCATATTTATATAAATTCTCTGGCATGACCACAGCTTTATAAAAACAAAAAATGGTAATGCAAATAAAGGCATGCATTTCCCCCCAGTATTTATTAACTTTTTTTTTTGCTTTAAATGGTTATGAATAGAAATGAACAGCTTGCATGAGCCTGTGTGTTTTCCTTAATCCCCTGCTGTGCAGCTCCATTTTCCTCTGATCATGTCTTGCAGCCCACATTAATTTACAATCTTGATTGGTCCTGACAAAAATTGTGTGCTAATCATTTTTCCATTTGCCCCAGGAGAGTGTTAACAGGAGTTAATATCAAAGAGTGAGGCGATTTCTCACAGCTGTCTGAGCACCGTGTACAGTGCATCCGGCACAGTAACAGACTCCACTAGTTTGATCTACTGTGAGGTTTATCATGTGTGCAATACGCTCCCATCCACCTAATGATCAGTCACCATGTGTGTGACAAGCTGAAGCTGCCGATCAATGATGGAGTATATGTGATGTTTGCATGTTTATTTAAGCATTAAAGAGTCATTCTGCAACGCTTGACTCACTTCTTCACTTGGCTGCACAGCTGGAAGGTTGTTCAAAATAGCTTTTCCTTCTTCTATGCTGCCTCCTGTGAGCTTGAATGAGCTTAGCTTGTCGCATTGCATTCAGGGTGCAATGGAGGTGGAATCAGCAAAAGTACTAGAAATCCATTTTTCATTTGTAAGGAGTTCAATGGAATTACCAAGCAGCAGATGTTGTTTAAAAGACCAAATGTGTTTAGCATTTTGCTGCATCATTCTTCGCTGTGTCCCAGAAGGATTTAGTCTCACCACAGTGGCTCAGCAGATGTGATCTCAACTCTCTTTTTTACATTTATCTGATCTCCCTTTTTACAAAAAAAACTCTGGTTCAGTTGTGCCCACTACCCTGCAAGAGCTGAATTTGAATCACTCTGGTCCCTCAAGGGGAATAGAGCACATCTTGTCCATCTGCTGTAAATGATGAAGTTGCGCTGATGCTCCAACTAAAATTAGATGAGCAGCAGCGTCTGTTTGATACTAACAGGACAGATGATTTGCTGGCAGTGGGGGGTAGTGCTCACTGTCATTCACACCATGTTTATAAGTAAATGGTGAACCCGGGGTTTTCTCCGTCTTCCTCTTTTGCTCTTCGCCTTCTGTCGGTATTCCAGATGGATGTGGAGAAAAACAGCTTTCCTCTCTGACAGTCTGATCAGAGGGCCATGCAGTGCAGCAATGTCATTCTACAGCCAAGGTCTTCATTAAATAAGCCAGCTTAGATGAGAGGGAAGACAGGCATTTGCTAAGTCAACATACTCTTAGGGAGCAAAGGAAGAGAGATAGAAATGGAAGGAGAGACAGCAGGGAAATTAATGATGTTGGAACAAAAGAAAAGTAGAATAATAATTTAACTTTATTTATCTCACACTGGAGAAACTTGCCTCTGCATTTAACCCAGTGGGCTGCCACTCTGCAGCTCCTGGGGAGCAAACTGGAAAAAAACTAGATAAGTCAGTTTTTCTTAAAATAAGTGC